GATTCACCAAGCAACTGCTGAGATCAGACTCTGTGTTGCAGTTTGGAAAAAGGGAGATGCTATTATAATAAAGATTCTGGTCAGAAGTGGAGCATAAAAGACAGTGTCTTTTTAAAAGATGCCAGAATGTCTTTTCCCCAAGCAGTTGAAAGCCATTGTGATGAATCATATATAGAATAGCCTCAGAAACACTGTAATTTAGATACACAGGCATGGTGATTAAAAGGTTTATGTAGTTAAAATAGGTCTGTCAGAAACAACACCTAATCTTTTTACAGTCCCTTTTATGACCCTAAAACGTATGGCTTTTATATATTAAGCTGGAGGAAATTGAGATTGATTCACTCGTCAGTGTTATGGACACGTGACTAAGCTTCTGTTTATTTCTTTGAGTCACAGATCTAAGTTGTATCAGATGCAGATGGTATCACCCCAATAAGTTTTTTTCTATCTGGTTTTGTCGCTTCATTCTTTGTCTTACGCCAAAGGGCACTAACTACGGTAATACAATACATTTTTCACAATATTCTAATGTTCCCATTAGGTACATTATATATTTAGCTAAAATATATATGTCAGCAGTTAAACCTCTTCAAAATTCAATGAAGAATGTTATGGTTATTCACTTTATTCCGATGCAACTGTTACCAAACAGCTTACATCATTTGTGTTCAAAGTCTGTTGCAAACCAGAGATCTAAAAAAAAAACACCCTTTACTGATATCTGGTAATCATGTTCACCATGAATTCCAAAGTGTTTTCAGCTTCCACAGTGCTAATTGTGGTATTGATTTGGATGTAGACAACCTCAGAAAGTCACGTTTCAGCTCTTTTTTGCTGAGCTTTTGTAACTGTAAATGCAGTTAATTGCAGCATGCCTTTGCTCCATGTCACAGACAAGAACATGCACATTGCATCTGAATGAAAGCATGAGCGTCCAAGCTAACAATGTGGTCATAATGGCTCTGCCAGAAAACAAATGATAGAAAAATACACTATCACTTTAAAAATAGGATAGAGGATGAATGGTTCATAAAATAGGTTTGGCCTGAGTACAGCAGCCTAAAATACGAGAGCATAGTGATGACAGATGGCCTGTGAAAGAACTGGGATGATTGCAGAAGCAGGCGTTGAAGAGGCAACCAACCAGGGTATCTAGATAATTCTGACAGTATCTCAAAACTGTAGCTGGCAAAACAAAAATCGTATTAATTCAATCAAAAAGCTTTTTTTTATAATTATTTAAAATGGGTTTTTCATAATTTCTTAAATCATTAAAATATGTTGATTAGGCATGGCGAGTGCATTGCAAAGGGTACATGAAAATATTTTATTTCTTAGGATGTAAGATAAAACAGCGGTGGGAGCTGTTTTGCTTTTTGAACACCAAACTAAAAATAAAACAAGCTTTTTTTTTTACTAAAAAGTATGTTTTTCTTTGAGTTTAACCCTTTAAAGCCTGATCCAAGAATAAAACAAAACAGAAAATTCGTTTTTTTTTTTTTTTGAATTCCTTATTTGCCGTTTTCACAAAATATGTAAAAAGAAAAAACAGAAATCAATTTTTGATATTAATAATTTATTACTATGCGATAAGTCAAGATAATTTTTTGTGTAGTCTTCAGGTATATCTGATTGTGTACAATAGGATTTTGAGCAAAGCTTTTACCATTAAATTATGCAAAAGTTGTCAGATGCAAAACATTTCAGAAACCGTATGTATCAAATACGATACATTTGGCATTAAAGGGTTAAATTCCATTGTGACACACATCCAGACCAAGCAGAGGAACAGACTGGATGTAGAGAACAGCCTGGTACCAGCTGTTTTTCACACTGATCTATCAGACCACATCAAAGCAGTTCAGGTGTCTGAATGAAAACAAAGTAAAACTAGTTAGGTCAGTCTGAATATAATTTTTCTTTTGTATTTTGTTCACAATTCATCAAGTTTAAATATGACTATAGGGAGTTACTCAGAGGAGCTGTGGTTTAATAAATACAGGTTTATACTGTAATATGATTTTATTTCGTATTTATTTCGATTCCTTGCAAACTTCCAGGTAACATATATATATTTTTTTTTTATTAAAAAAAAAAAAACATTAAATGCCTAAGAATTAAATGCTGAAATTAAAAGATTAAGTAAGATAGTTTTTATTTCATAATCAGTTATTGTATGATTTTCTTTTGGACAATAATCAATCCTTTTGTCTTACCAAGGGGTACTCATGGTAAGACAAAATGCCTAAAGGGGAACACAAGTCAAAAAAGGTTGGGAAACACTGGTATGTAGTAAAGAAGCTGGTATACAGTATAGAAGTTGGTACAGTATACAGTAAAGAAGCTGGAGCGTCAGATATATGGTTAAATACTGACATCTGGTGGATAGTTGTAGCTATGACAGGTTAAAGCTCTTTACATGATACATGCACAGCATACCAATAACACCAACTTCGGTTTGACAGAGACTACAAAGGTTATATTATCTACAATTACTGCTAATGACATTGCGTTGATACAGTAAATTTAGCACAACTTTTAGCAGCAGACTCAACCAACTGTAGAAAGAATACAGGTAAGGTATCAGATAGACTGTATGAATCAGTGTCAGAGCATGATTTCATGTTGTTTTTGGTTAAAGTAGACTTTGAGTGTTTGAAACAGTATTTCAAATTTTATATCACAGAGTTATTTATGTTAGGTAGTTCTATCTTGGCCTAAGACAGATGGGCCATCTTATTCATGTATTTATTTATTTTCAAATGAGACAGAGTGGCACGCTGATCTTCACTACAACACAAACATAAATGCATCCAGCTGCAGAATCATGTTAATTTCAAATTTTTTGCCCCATTTTGATATTACCCACTGAACGATCCAATGAAATAACAAAATACTCACCTTAATTCTTTTTCTTTTTTTCTATACATTTAAAAGCCTCAAGATAAAATATGTGATACAAACAAAAAATGCACACAACATTCCAGGCATCTCCACATTGAATTTTCTTTCATCAATATCCCCATCTCAGCACACAAGTTTTTAACAGCACCATACAGTAAGTAATTGTACTTAATGATTTTTTGGGGGCACAATTTCTGCTCGGAGAAAGAAATATTAAAGTATTATAATGGACAATTCTTGACCATAAATCTAAAAGACTGAACTGTAAAGCCCAGATATCAAAATTAGATAATCAAAGTCAGCAGAAAATGTGTTTCTCCCTAAACTAATCAAAAAGAACATTTTCATATTACTATAACTGTAGTCACACTTGTACATCTTAAAGTGTCCATTTCTACAGTGTACAAAAATCTGAGCATTAGGCTAATAAGGTCCAAACATCTCCCACTATGCTTAAGTAGCATAGTGATGACATTTGTTGTGAGTTTGGTGCTATATAAATAAACTGAATTGAATTGATCTTGAGCCAAGGTGCCTCGGATGTTCCGTATGTAGCAAATTTCTGTGGCATGAGCGTTGAAACTTTTAGACATTTATAAAGCAGTGTCTTTTCTAAAAAATATATATCTGGGTTTTTTTTTGTTTGTTTGTTTGTTTGTTTTTTGTTAAAATGTGTTTATGTTTTTATCTAAGTATACACACTGGGGCTGTGTTCAAGAAAATAGATACCATAAACAGAAAGGAGACTTTGTGTTTTGTTTTTTTCTTACTTTTTTTTCACCATGACAAAATAAAAGTATCTTCTCATCTGAATTTATTTAAATGTATACATGAGGTTCCTACCCACAATTTCATCATATATTTAACCAAGATGAAGCAAAAATGGAAAAAAAAAGTTTAGTGGACAAACAATCACTGCTGTTAAAAAGTTAAGAATCAGGTCGACTCCAACAAGAAGCTTTAGATTATTCATTTGTTTATTAGAACTATTAGAGGGGGCAATTATTGCTGCAATTTCACTCCTCGTAAAGATCACAAGTACATACAGTGCCTTTGCCCCTCCTGTTGGTCTATATGAGTATAACAGACTACCTCAGAACCTCTATAACAGCTAGTATGATGATGATCTTTGATGATCCAAATTTCATGAATCTGTTCTGCTACCTTGACAACTTCATGGTTTTTGCACTCTTTAAAAGAGTTAGAGCCCACAATCTGAAACTAGGAACAAAAAATGCTACTTCTTTGGCCGCTCTCCTCACTTTCTGAGTTATTTTATAGACAGCAGTGGTGTAGCAACAGATTCAGCCAAAGCGGAGGCCATAACAAATGTAACTAAAGCAGATTTGATGTCTTCTGATGGTCAAACTCCATGCCCCAGTAAGACAAAATTATTTTGGCGATTAGTCATGTGGTACCAATGCTTTATCCTAAATTGTTGCACTGTTGCAAAACTTTTTTTTGATTGACATCTGGCTTGAAGCCCAAAAGAACCAAACGGATATATATAGACTATAGACTTTTTGAATAGTAAATTTTGACAAATTCTGAGTGTAGAATGTAACAGGACAGTTTAATCAATCTTTTCAAAATTATTTTTTTAATTCTCATTTTTACTCCCATTGACTGTTTGCCAATTCCATCCTAGTGGGCAGGAGCTACAAATGATTACCACCAACAACCACCAACTTTATGTAACAATGACTGATTAAACCAGATGAAACAAAGTGAAGGGTGTTCTTCAATCAGTCCATCAACAACAAACTAAGAAGTAAGGGTTACATATCATATATCCTATTGTTTGGGGTACATTTTGAGCCAAAATTAAATACTCAGTTAACAATGATGAGCTATGCTTACTCCTTCAGGCAAGAAATGTGCACCTCATCTGTAAGATCCTTCCGAAGAAGCTTATAGATATGTTCAGGCTCATAACTGAGCTCTCATATCACAGCATTGCACCAGGCAGATTTTAAGTGAATTGTGACGACAACAGTCTACACAACCCAGAAGCTAAACTGCTCTTTTTCTGAACATCTAAGAAAAGTGGGGAGAATCATGTGTTGCTTTATACAAATCCATCAAAACAGACCTGAGACAGAAAAACTGAGGAACTGGGTGATCAGTTCCATGTTTAAGTTTAATGTACATTTAAAAAAAATACAACAGTGAAATTATTAAATAACAGTTGCAACTGAAGGAAATCTGAAATTTACTGAATCAAAATCAAATGAAGATATTTCTCAAATATTTTGTAAGTAGTTTGTGATTGATTCAGCTGTGAGATCCAATATTTACATAATGTATTTACAGTAGATGATTGACTTGTTAGCACCTGCATGAAAATGAAAATTCAGACCAGAAAATTCACAAGCTGAACCTTTTTACCCTAACAAAACAGCAGTCACAGCAAAATAGGGGTGAAACATGCTCATATATAACATTGGAAAATGTATGAAAGCCTTAGTTTAAATCTCCACACGTTAAAGACGGATTCTGTCCTGGATTATTATAATCCCTTGTAATTTTGGATCCAGAGGGAAAAATCGTTATGTAAGAAAATAATAAATCCTCTTAGAAATAACCTTCAAAGAAAAGCACTACTAAATTGAACACATATGAGACTTTTTATGCTTTTTATATGCAGGATGCTTTATTTAAGCATTTCTGGGAAATAAGGGTGTTTTTCATTTTCCTTCTTTTCATGTCCTTTTTTTTTTTGTATTTTGAATGCACAATTTGATGTCACTTAAAATCAGTGGAACAGTCCGAAAAAGAAAATGAAAGGTGATGAATCGTCAAATGTTATTTGCAATACCACAAAATACCTCTCAAATATTCTGCACACTGTTGTTACAGTAAATTCTCAGAGAATATTATGTCTGAGATATGACAAAATCTGAGCTGCCTCTAATGGTAGCGTGTGAAAAAGAAATAAAACTTCTTGCACCTTGAGGAGAACACAGCGCTCACAAACCAACTCCAATCATGATTTGTCCTGGATCAGGAGTTCCCAGCGGCTCCTTAGGATCCAGCGAGGTGGACAGGCCAAGAGGGCAGAATGGTATGTAGCGCAGCCAGGAGAAAGAGGACAAGTAGGAGGTCATGCCAAAGGGGAGGTTGTACACTTCTCCGGTATCCAGGGTTTCACAGGAGTCATCTTCGTGAGCTTTATTCCAGGCCAGGATGCCGCGTTCCTCCTTGGATCCTTCAGGAAACCAACAATTATTTTAGATGAGCATATTTAGCCTTTGGCACTTTTACTAGCAACAATCACCAAATGATAATAGATGGCCTATTACCATCAGGATATTCTTTAATTATCTGATGATAGCCTTTTTGCAGAAAAAAACAAGCTTTGACAAGAATGCCACATTTTGGCTTATGATACAAGATCAAAATACTCTTCAAGTCTGATTACCGTATTTGGATTATTTAAAAAAAACAAGGGTACTGAGAAAGTCTAATATGCTTTGAGCATTGAATGAGGGAGGTCATGTTACTGATCATTTAGAGTACCTGGGATGGTGTTGTCCAGTATGAAGCCGAAGAAACCTCCAACAAACATGCTGGTGGTCAGAAGTACTTGCAACATCTGATCAAATTCCACCACACCTGGAAATAAAAGGAGATACATTTTTTTATTACTATTTCGAACTTCAGTGTGATAAAAATCTAAATCAGTGAAACCAATTATCATATCAATCACATAAAAATTGATGAGCTACCTGTGGCAATAACGTTGGGGTTTTTTAATATCCAGTTAGGAATGACCAGACCAGAGAACATGGAGAATCCAAAAATGAAGATGTTTCTTGATGAATTCATGTCGGTGTACTGAACAAGTGAAAAAAAACCGTTTATTGTCAATACAGTAAAAGAACTCCGTTAAATGTTTGGAAATAGATCAAGCATGTGTACCTGCAAATTAGTGACTCCTGCTGCACAGATGACACCAAACATAACCATGAACATTCCTCCGATCACAGGTGAGGGGATGGTTGCAAATATAGCAACCCATTTTACCAAGTATCCCCATGGCAACCATGAACACACCACTTGCCACTATGACCATACGGCTCCCAACCTGAGAATTAGGAGTTCATGCTTGAGCATTTGTTTTTAAAAACTGCTTAAGCGTTGGATCAGAGTAGTTTAGAATACCATCTGGCTTAATGAAAGTCAATTTTCTTACCTTTGTAATACCGAGGGCTCCAACATTCTCACTGTAAGAAGTGGTCCCATTTCCAGTTCCCCATGCTCCAGCAAGTAGACAACCTATCCCTTCAATCCCAATTCCCCTGTTGATGGCATGTTTGGGTGGTGGTGGAGCTCCAGACAATCGTGCACATGCATGGTAATCCCCAACAGACTCTATCATAGAGGAGATCACCCCGGCCAAAATCCCAACCACCCCTGCCAGGCTCACAGTCGGTCGTCCCCATTGTCCTAGATTTGGTTTTAAACATAACGACAGAAAATGAGACCATCTTTATAAGAAACTATTTCAATACTATACATTATATTTATAATGTTATATACATAAACATAATACATATTGTATTTGCACAGTTAAAGAGCTCCACCAACAAAGGAGGAGGTCAAAGTAGCCTCCTTTGTATAACAAGTCTCCTCATTACACAATGTCAAATTGCTCACAGTTATCCCAAAAATAATGTAACATGTATGGCATCAAATATAATAGAGAAAATAAAAATAAAGGGCATAACAAACTGAACACATTTTTTTTCCAATAATGCTCTCTTTAAGTGAATATTATTCCAGTTTTAACATCTTGTCTTCTTTGTAAAATCTTAATAGCAGATGTTTCTAAAACCTCTCAGGCTGAGTCAATATTTGTTCTCCCCCTTCTTTAGGTGACTCTCTTCTTCATCATTTTGGCACTGATGACTTAATAGTTCATTCTATTCATCTGCCAAGCTCTGCCCAGTTGCTCATTACTGTTAATCTCATCCACCTGCTCCTGCCTCTATTTAAACTGCTTGCTGCCTGTCATCAGTGCCGGATTATTCAAGACGTTGATGAGCGTTCTCTAGCGAACTTGTTTGTGTTCTGATTGTCGGATCCTGATTAGTGTCTGGCTTTGGACCTCTGAACCTGCCTGCCCCTATTCTGATCTGTTTGCCTCACCTGTCTTCAGACTCCTGCTGGATCTGTCTCCTGATCCTGACTTAGATTTCCCTTTGGTACCTCTCCGGATCTCTGATCTTTTGGCGTGGGCTCCTGTCTATCTCATTGACACCAGCTTTGCGTTCTTCTTCTGGAAACTCCTGCTTTTCCTCATCTGCAGCCAGTCCAGCAGCCTTCTTGGCCTCTGTCCCTTAAAACTCTCTCGGTGGCATCCCCCATGTGCTCTTGGAAATAATGCGGCTGATTTCCACTCCTTTTATGAGCTCGGACTGAACTTTAAAATCAGAGATTCTGGCCTTTGTCATCCTAGCTGCTGAGTCACAGATTGGACGTCTTCTTAAAAATTCTGGGTCCAAGGTTCTGACTTCTGACACTCTTTTGTCGCATTTGAACTCACTAATATTTAAAACCCTTTCATTTATTTTCCTCTATCATAAAATCCTAGATTCCCTTAAAGAAAAGAAAACCCAGCTCACATAACTCTTACCAATAGTAGCCCAAAGATCAAACTAAATTTGAACTGATCATAATGTCCTACTACACATTTTGATTTTATATTGCATGTGAAATAAAAGGCAGGACGAGCACATAGGACGGCCTTACATAAACATATCACCAGAATTATTGACAATTAGGAGGCCCACTTATTTTGATGATCCAACCGGAAAAAGAACATTTTCTACTATACATTTAACTAAAGGTTGAAAATGAAAAAAGAAATGTCAAACATATCTAAAATTTGAGTAAAAGCTCAAATTTATTTCTTGTTCTTTGGTTTGACAGCAAGTAAGACTACAAAATATAGAACATTGCGAATAAATGAGTGAATTTGTTGCATTCTTTCTTAGTTTTTATATTTCTGCTCTTTACATGACTGACATTTTGCATTATTTTCTGAGAATTTTTTTTTTTTTTTTTTATTCATCTTGTAAAAAAAGGTATCAGCGTCTATGAGAAATATTAGGAGTTCTGAGAAATTCAAATGTTATTTTTAAACTCAAACCTGTAATACCTTACCTGGGTATGGGAATGTAAACCAGGGAGCTTGATTTATTACGTCTCCTTTTAGATCTGTGCGTGCAAGGTAACCATACTGTCCTGGTTCAGCAGGAAGCACATCATATCTTGTCAAGATGTAACAAATGAGCCAGGAAATTGTAATTCCCATTAAGACCTAAAATTTGAAACAAGGAAAAAAAAATCACATTTGATCCCTTTTTAATGGAAAAGATATTTTCTTCAGCGACATACTGGAAGAATTTGAAAGATGTAGACTCGAGAAGTGTGGAGCTTTTTATCCTTGCTATATGTAGGAAATGGCACAGCAATGTGACGGAGGTACTGTGAAAATAGGATTATCAAAACTGTAGTCCTGTAAGAAATAAGGAAAACAGACTGAAATTAGACAACTTAGACAGAACATTGAAAAACTAAGTATTTAAAAAAAAACACACACACACACACAGTAACAGCCTTCTTGGTTTAAATAACACAATTTAAATTCCCAATCAGTTTTCAAATCAAATGATGTTGAAGTAAAGGCAGATTCACAACAACAAAAAATGCCTTGAAAAACATAATTGTTGAAAAGCACCCTGTTTTTTGGCCAGACACTACATGTGTATACCTGCATAAAATAATTATTTTCAAAGAGTTACTCAATTAGTTGCTTTGTTCCTTTGTTCGTTTCACTGTAAAGAAACTTCACTCACATTGAAGAGATGCCCCAGTGGTTGCCAGCGCTGTTACCAGCTGAGTCAAACAGTGACAGACCAATGAGAGCAATGGTGGGAGCAATGGTTAGAGGCCCAATAAAGCGCATGAAGAGGCCGATGAGGCCAGAAAATCCAACAAACACCTGGAAAAGTGAGCCCACAATAATGGAACCCTGCAGCTGAAAACAGAATAACATCAGAATTAGGCAGCAGAAATTACATTTTAGCCAAGAACTTAAACTAGATACATAAAACAAAAACAGTCATACACTTTATTTTGGTATGACTAAATAAAATAGAAAAAAGGTTTCAGTTTTTTGGGTATTTTGTAGTTATATTTTCCGCCACAAGATGGTGCTAAGCTGTGCCCAATCTAGCAGTTATAGGTATAGTTGTCATTTTTACACCGGTAAAAATGACAACTATAACAAATAAAGCTGGAAAAAAAGGTGGATATAATTCAGAGTTATTTTTTAAGTAGAATTTCTTTTATTTGCATTGTTTTAGCAAATGTTTACACACACAAGTAATTATAAAAAACAGATTATCAAATGTTAAAAAATAGCTATGAAAGCCAACCTGGTCTCATGTAAAAAGTATTACAGACCTACTTGTTATTGAATTAAGAATAATTAGCCTCGGTTTACTCTTCAGCTATTTAAAATACATTAGTTTCTATAGTTTAACAATGGCTCTCTAAATCAGAACTCATCTAGGAGGTCATGGAAAAAAAACAGAACAACATCTACAGCTCTTCGGCATCACTCCCTCCGACAGGGTCAGAGGTCATGTTTTTAACAATTTAACAATTGTGTGAAATTGGCTCCATGGTATAGTTGTAAAGCCACAACTACTTCTGCCATAAAGCTAAAGAAGTAAACATTTACACACAGAAAAACATCCTAATTTATCCCGGGGACTTTAGGTAAAAAGAAAAATCAGTGGACAAGAGAGATAGATGTGGACACAAACTAATATGGAATTGTAAAAGAACAACATCACTACGAGAGTCAAGCATGGTGGTGGTTTGATAGTCTGGGGTTGCTTTGCTGATTTATTACAAGTACATTTAGTAGTTTGATATAAAAGATGGTCTTTATGTGACCTTCCTAGTCAAAGTCTGGGCCAAATCTCTTTGAGAATCTGTTCCTTGACCTTAAATAGGCTGTTCATGCAAAGAGATCCTGCAAATCTAAGGACATAAATTTTGCAAATAATAGTGGTTCCAACTGATCTAAAGGAGTCCTTAATAGTTATAAGAACACTTTGTTTCGACAAAGCCAATTATTAGATTTTATGGGAGATCTTTAAAGGGTCAAATATGCAAATTTAGCTTGAAAAGGGAGTTGAGTTGAGAGAGGACAATTTTATTGGAAGTTCTTCAACTTCCTGATATTTTTGCATCTTGGAGAAAATATATCAGTTACATGTTTACATGAAAATCTTTTCTACGTTTATCAGAATTAGAAACATATATAGGTCTGCTATTTTTCTTCTTTTTTTTTGTCTGACTTTTTTTACATCAGAAATTTTACATCTCAACAGCAATCTAACATGTTTATAAAGTCTAAACCCTTCGTAAAAAGTCAAAAAAGTTTGACAGGAAGGATCAAGAGTTATAATAGGGCAGATTTATTTTCATAACTTATTTTTTCTCTCTCGATCTGCTAAAAGGTAAAAATCCTGTGTTCCTGTATGTGTAACAAATGGTTTCTGCTGTTAAACAAGAGTTTAGGCCTTTGCTATAAAAGGATGAATGTTAAAAGTTAACTTACAGCTCTCAGTCGACTCTGCCATACTTCTATAAACTCTGGGGAGGAGGTGTTGACTGAGCTGATGTTTTGGGTCCAGGCTGGACATACAAACTCAGGCATTGACAGCATCGCCATGGAGGGGGCCAACAGTGTGAATGTGCCACCTTGAAGAATGGGCAGTCTGGGAACAAAGATGGCAGCCAATATTTCAAATTATTTTGTTTCAAACCATACCACTGCAAAACTGATTGTGAAACTTTCATTTGAAAAGGCAAAGAAATATGTGGAAGACTCCACACTGTGTTTGAACTTACAGTCTCCATTCATTCTATCTGTAAACGTGGTTAATTCAAATCATGTGAAGCTAGATAGTGACTCTCCTATTAGACACACAGACCCGAGGTTAAGTAAAAGCAATCAGCTGCTAATGATTGTCTTTATGCTGCCTACTATCAACAATACACATCAGACTTTCCAGTGAAGCATATCAATCAGTAACGTGCAGGAATTTATTCAAAGAGCCTACGATTCATATGAAGATGCATGTGAAGGAAACGAGACATGAGAAGTAGATATTACAAAATATTTTGTTTGCTTGTTTGTTTTGCTTGGAAAAGTTCTGTGGACACAAAGTTTTCCTGACAGCTCATTCCTAATGTTTAAGAAAGGAAGAGAAAAAATCAGTGGTTCTAAACCAGGATAATGTGGGTTTGAGTAGGAACGAGATTCCGGACATAATAAGATGGAAATTCCTTGGCTAATCCAGCTGTGACGACAGTTATTTAGGAAGGCTGAGCTGCAATGTTCACAGCTTGAATTCACATTTAAAATCTGTCATTTTCAAAAGCAAGAACAGCTTTTATTTGGCAAAACTTCGGACTGTAGTGATATTAACTTTTCCAGATTTCTCTCGTTTTTGCTTTTCTTTCAAATCTGGATGCTCAGGTCAAACAAACAAATGCTTTTAAAAAGTCAAGGGTAACTTAAATAGATACAAAAAGCTATTCTCAGATTACAATTTCACTCATTAAGAAGATAAAACTCTTTCCAAATCAATCAGCCAAGAGAGTTGCCCTTTTAAGCAAGAGCTAGTTGTGCAAATGAAAGCAACAACTTTAATCAAGTGAAGTTTAGACCCAGTCTTCTTTCCAGTATTGTTTTAATTCAGCCACATTCAGGTTTTCAGTAATAAACGTCTGTGTAGAGTTGTGGCAGTGTATACGACTAAGTCTGGACTTTGACTAAGCCACTCCAAAACCATTTCTTTGATTTCTAATCCACTTAGGGATATACACTATATTGCCAAAAGTATTTGCTCACCCATCCAAATTATTGGAATCAGGTGTTCCAATCACTTCCATGGCCACAGGTGTATAAATTCAAGCACCTAGGCATGCAGACTGTTTTTACAAACATTTGTGAAAGAATGGGTCGCTCTCAGGAGCTCAGTGAATTCCAGCGTGGAACTGTGATAGGATGCCACCTGTGCAACAAATCCAGTCGTGAAATTTCCTCGCTCCTAAATATTCCACAGTCAACTGTCAGCTGTATTATAAGAAAATGGAAGTGTTTGGGAACGACAGCAACTCAGCCACGAAGTGGTAGGCCACGTAAACTGACGGAGCGGGGTCAGCGGATGCTGACGCGCATAGTGCGAAGAGGTCGCCAACTTTCTGCAGAGTCAATCACTACAGACCTCCAAACTTCATGTAGCTCAAGAACAGTGCGCAGAGAGCTTCATGGAATGGGTTTCCATGGGCGAGCAGCTGCATCCAAGCCATACATCACCAAGTGCAATGCAAAGCGTCGGATGCGGTGGTGTAAAGCACGCCGCCACTGGACTCTAGAGCAGTGGAGACGCGTTCTCTGGAGTGACGAATCGCGCTTCTCCATCTGGCAATCTGATGGACGGGTCTGGGTTTGGCGGTTGCCAGGAGAACGGTACTTGTCTGACTGCATTGTGCCAAGTGTAAAGTTTGGTGGAGGGGGGATTATGGTGTGGGGTTGTTTTTCAGGAGCTGGGCTTGGCCCCTTAGTTCCAGTGAAAGGAACTCTGAATGCTTCAGCATACCAAGACATTTTGGACAATTCCATGCTCCCAACTTTGTGGGAACAGTTTGGAGCTGGCCCCTTCCTCTTCCAACATGACTGTGCACCAGTGCACAAAGCAAGGTCCATAAAGACATGGATGACAGAGTCTGGTGTGGATGAACTTGACTGGCCTGCACAGAGTCCTGACCTCAACCCGATAGAACACCTTTGGGATGAATTAGAGCGGAGACTGAGAGCCAGGCCTTCTCGTCCAACATCAGTGTGCGACCTCACAAATGCGCTTCTGGAAGAATGGTCAAAAATTCCCATAAACACACTCCTAAACCTTGTGGACAGCCTTCCCAGAAGAGTTGAAGCTGTTCTAGCTGCAAAGGGTGGACCGACGTCATATTGAACCCTATGGATTAGGAACGGGATGTCACTTAAGCTCATATGTGAGTCAAGGCAGGTGAGCAAATACTTTTGGCAATATAGTGTACAAACTGGCGTGATTTAGGTTGTTTGTTTTTCTTGTGGTTAAAGTAACAAGCTGATGATAATGATGTTATTATTTTATTTTGAAGGATCTTTTTTTTCAAGAGTGGGATCGGAGATGTGCATTTTGTGGGTTTCCAGTCACCCAACTATGTTTGATATTAAATTTAATTCAATCTGAGTACGCCATTTTGGTAAAGGTGCAGAGGTTCTTCTTTGTAATTTTGTGTCTTTTTCTTTTAATATATAGTCTGTTCTGATATTGATTCCTTTTTATGCTTCCGATTTTTAGAGGATTTTTTGGTCTCGTAATTTTTTTTTTAAGGGTTTTAGACTTTTTTTTTTTTACAGACTTTTTAAAAAAAAGTCTATAATCCTTCCATACTAACAAATGTTGGTGGAACATGCTTTTATTTGTTGGCACATCTGATTTCCCCCACCATAGGATAACAGAATATGTTTGAATTCTCTGATGGGACCAAACAGCTTTAGGTTTTTCCAGCAAGAGAGCAAAACTGATGATTCCATCAATTTTAGAGGGTCATACAGATCAAAAAGCAACCAAGCAGATCAAATTCCACACACCACAGCCACCATGTTTATGTGATCATCTTTATCTCAATTGATGTTGGTTTTCTATCAGATTTAAAGACACATACCTTTTAAAGATTTTCTCTTTTACCTCAGCTATTCACAGAATATTTTCCCCAAAGTTTTGGAAATCCTTTATCAAATGACCAAGATGTTCTTGGTCAGCAGCGGATTATGCTTTGGATGAAATCCCTCTCGTGGAGCCCATTTTTGCTTCAGTTCTATTTATATTATTGAATACAAAATTCTTGATTTAAGTGAGGCCTGCAGAGCTTTCGATTTTGCTCTGTGCTATCTGAATGAGCACTTGGAGTTTTTGTTGTTGCTGGTCTCTGCTAAGAAGTTCTTTCACTGTTCTATGTGTGAATGGTTGTTCTCAAGGTGTATCTCTAAAGTTTTATAAACAGCTTTGTAATCCTTTCAGGCTAATGTTAAAAACATGTGCCTCTTCCTTTCTTGAATTTTTAGATTGGGGTATAATGTGCTGGCTTTGACATCAAAAAGCCTACTCATCACCTAAAATTTGATTCCTCAGATCTGCAGGTCTGGCAGAGTTTAAAACATTGGGATTAGCAACTGAAAATGAATTAAGTTTTTCAACAAATTGATTAATCACAGTAAACTCAACAATTAACAAAGACGAAATACTTTTTCAAATAGGGTCACATTGGTTTCGATAGCTTTATCTCTTTATGAATTAAATCTTTATCAAACATTCAGCTTTTTGTATTAACCTGTTCTCTTTGTCCTATATTGATGATCTGAAACATTAGTGTTACAAAAGAATCAAATAAAAGCCAAACAATCTGCAGAAGGGTGCATATTTTCATTACCAGCACTGTGTGATTAGTAGATCTTTCAGAAGACTACATAAAGAATTGCTGAAATATTTTTCCTTACTTTTAATTTTAGTATTATAGCAGACAACACTGACAAATCTCAAAGTTATGAATAAGCCTTTACAATATACAAGATTAAAACATTGTTTTGGTTTGCTCTATTTGGTTAATTCCACTTTGATGCACCTTGGTTTACTGTCTGGCTACTGAGTTTATTCAACAATAATTGAAACACACACTAAACATGTTAAGCAGCAAAGATATTTAGACATTTGTCTGCCAGGTTAACATTGTTCACTGCAGTCCTTCTACCTAGTCCTTACCTGATACCAAAGGTAACCTGCAACAAGGTGCAGATTCCAGAGACAAAGAAGATGGTGCTGATGAGGTAGCTCTGTGTGAGGCCATCATGCTGCAGACACAGGCTCTGAGACAGGATCAGGGGGATGGCGATGATGCCCCCAAATGCAGTTAAACAATGCTGTAGCAAAAGAAAATATACTTTTTTTAGAAGGAGTTTGTTTTTATTCAAAGTATATTAGAGGATTAAAAAGTTTGACCTTTAATGCACGACTTCATTTAAACATAAACCCAGAGCTTTGCATAAACCCAGAGCATAAACCCAGAGTTTGCAATATCTGACCTTAATGAATAAAAAGAGGTCCAACCAGCTGTGAAACTGACTGAATCTCTTGTTTACATTGTGATACAAGTCAGGAAATTCTGCTGCTCTGTTTTTTTTTTTTTTGTTTGTTTGTTTTTTTGTAAAAGGAATTTCATAAAACCAGTGAACAATTTTCAGGACATACCTGTGTTCCTAAGAGGATGCAGAGGTACCATGGAGGGACATCTGTCACGCAGTATGCCAGTTTGTTAGTGTTTCCTTCAATAGAGGAGTCCAGGTCCTGTCCTTTCTCAGGTAGTTCACAGAAACCTCCTTCCAGCTTCAGTTGGTCATTAAAAAGAAAGATGTCTATGAGGATGCAGTTATAAAAAGCCCCCTAACATTTCTAATATTGCCATGAATTTTAAATAGTCAAATGTATTCCTTAAAGTGTTTGTTTAACTTGTTTAGACCAATAAAGTGAATGGGAGCCAAATGTCACATCTTCTGTACCAAAGAAATGTAGAATCTGTATAATAGCAAATGAAAATTCAATGAGAGGAAGAAAACAGTTTTTGTTTGTATTTATCATTTTTGTGGCAGCTTCATTCAGTCTCAGCTGTTGACAACATATTAGACTTATTTCAAAGTCCAGCTTTCACAAACTTTTAGATAAGATACTAGAATATTACATTAACACATTTCACCTACTTAAGCATACATATTTCTTCTGACAGCGTTTTAAAGATAGTGAATTCATCTCCAGGAATCCAAACAGGGAAATTAAATGTCAATTTTTGTACAAAATTAGACCTAGTATGGGCAGAAAATTAAAAACAAACTCACCGCAAATGCATAGTTGTCAAGTCCATTGCTTTCTTTCTCTGAGGTCATGACAGCTTTGGCTTACTGGCTCAAGTTTAGGTGCCCCGAAGTTTGATAAGAAACAGAAAAGAAAAAAAGAGAGAACCTAACAAATTGAACAGCACTGGAGTGAAGCATCTGACAGAGCGCCAGGAGGTGGGAGAGAGGGTGGGGTAGAGAGCCTTGCCTGCTATGTAAAAGCAGATCTCAGACATGCGACTGCAGCTCGTGCTGACTGAAATAGGTCCAACCAAGCGCTCATGTGAACCGAATTACAACAGTAGCAGCAGCTGACCAACCAGCATTTGGCAGGCTGGAGATACTTTGTCCTTTTCACTGTAAAACAAATACTAATCACATAAGAAGCCTTTAAGGCCACACCGAGGCAAGAAGAAACGCCCAAAGAAATTAACCTGAAAAACTTTTATTAATGGGCAAAAGTTACGTAAAACGTTAGGGGCAAAAGTGAGTCTCTAAACTAAAATCAAACCTGGATCCATTAATCAGATCCTGACTCAATCACCCTCACTCTTATTGCTCCTATTTCAATGCTGCTTGTATAATTTCACCACCTGAAAAACACAGATTCATTAACTCCCTTTAAAGTTGCTGCTCTTGTTTTCTCCATAATATAACTGTTGGTTAGTGAGCATTAAAGTTTTCCTGAAACTGCTCTACTTTCCTTTTAATTTTGACAGTGAGTATTTTTTTTACAGGGTAAACCTCCATGACTATCACGTGCTGCAAAGTATCACACAGGACAAGGCTTTTATTCATGGGCTGCTGTAAAAGTTCTGTAACTTCATTTCCCTCCAAATGGTATTAGCTTAAATTATATTATTAGTCTAAATTAAGAGTTTGATAGTAGCCCACACTGACCTAATTAACAGAGTCCAGAAGGAAGACAGTCATTGTCACACTTATAGCATAAAAATTGCTGCTGTTTCAGTCCAAGCATTGCTGATGCTTATCTCATCTTAGAAAAGTCATATTATAGGTCACAGGTTGAGGACACTGATCAGACCATAAAATATAAACATTACCAAAATAGTCATATTTAAAACATCAATACATGACAGACATAAGTCCAGTACATAGATGTGAAGTGTAACTTGTCATGCTTGTATTCTTGTGATCTTACACCTATCCTGGGCTGGGTGGTGTGGAGCAGCAGACATGCCCAAATTTCCCTCTTTACAGACACTTCCCCAAGCCCCCAGAGGTGTTTTCATGGCAGCTGAACACACCCAGAGTTAGGCATCTGATGCCTGAGCCACCTCACTGACTCCTTTTGAGTAGGGGAGCAGTGAATCTACTGGTCTCCCTTGGCTCTCCTCTCAGAGTTTCTCTTCATATTTCCAGGGGAAGCTTATGATGGATATTTCTTGACCATAGATGAACGTAAGAACTTAGAATCAAGAGCTTTGATTTTTGTCTTGACTCTCTCTTCACAACAAAGGACTAGAGCCGGGTCTACTAGACTTGCAGCTATTTTACTGATGTGTCTATTGATCTATGGCTCCACACTAAGAAGCTCTTAGATCTGAGCTGTCAGCAGCTAAATGTGTAATGCCCCTATGGGACATCTTATAGTGAACAGGCTCCTGCTGATGCGTCAAAGAAAGAGCGGTCAAGAAAAACCTTAAAATGGGCATGAGACCCAGGTGAAGCCAGGTTCCCACTCTTGAGCCAGGGGCAATGGCATGATCTCATCAGCAGACGCCTGATCTTCACAAACTCTGTCTAGACCCAGCACTAATTAGTAATGCAAAATCATCCACTGGCATGCCCACCACCTGCAGGGAGAACAGTGAGAGACCAGTGCAGAGCTGAAAAGACTTCTGAAATACAACATATAAGTAATTTTCTCTATTTTCTCTATGGTGTTTTTTTCCTCTCTGATAGACATGATTTTAGACACCAGCACTGCTAAACATTCATCAGAAAAGAGAACAATGACTTGAATAAAATTCTCCAAACACAACAGTTTAGAAAAATGTATTTTACATCTATCTTATAAACAGCAGAGCAGCTATGGTGAGAGAAGTTTGGTTTTGTGATAGTTATTTTTTTATATGTAGGGAGCCATCAAGTCAGGCAAACACATTTTTACATCCTTAAAACATTTTGAATAATGGATGTTGTTGGACTGTCTTGGCTGAAATGGCTCTTCAACATTGCACAGAGGTTGGGTACAGTGTCCTGGATTGGCAGGCCGGAGTGGTGGTTCCCCTGCATAAGAAAGGAGACTGGAGGGTGTGTTCCAAATATGGGGGGGATCACACTGGTCAGCATTGCCAGCATTAAGTCGTACTAAGACCGGGTGCATGTTGGGACCGGCGGGTTTCATACTTGAGTTTTGGGGATGAGGTGGTGGTTATACTAATGGACATTGATAGGCCCTATGTCATCGGGTGAGAGGCGTGCTGATATCTTGAGTCAGACCAAGCTGCTGGCGGAGATAATACATGTCAATTGAAGCAAGCGGGACTTTATGATTTCAAACACTCTGAATCTCATGAATTCTCAACTGATTTCAAGGGCTACATAGCACCAACGGATTGATATAAAGAATTTTCTAATCTGATATATAATTTCAATTTATGCCCAACTTTTATTCTGCCTATGGATGAACAAATAAAAGAAGACTGCAAACGAGACCCCATGGAATCACCTTTTACAAGTAGGATTTTATGATAGATTATTGCCATATTTCACAATTACTGTTATTGCCACTGTCAACACAAGAGGTGCTGAAAGGTCATAACATTTTTATTGTGATATTATCTCTGACTTTTCTTATATCTGATTGAGACATACACATACGCACCCCCTTGGGTCACAACATAGTGACGGGTCACAGAATTTGTTTTAACAGCTGAGTGAAAAGGCAAAGCTCTCAACTACCGGTCAGTCTGCATTCCTACCTTCACAGGAGTATACAATCCAGCCCATCAACGTGCTACAGACTGTTTCTAAGAACAATAGGGAAAGAATGGTTCACTCTTAAAAGAGCAGTGGTTTCCAGTGTGTTAGTGTGATGCGAGTTGTAGTATCCTCATTGCTAAATATGGCACATCCAGCTGATAGTGGTATAATGTTTTTCCTCTTGTGATTTATCAAATAAACTCCAAACAGTTTAAAAACCTGTTGCCACATCTGACTCTGATTAACACATATTAAGTATTAAACTGACAGTTTTCCACAACAAAGGTGAATAAAGGAAACATTTTGGTTATAACACTGGGAGAACATTTTACTTATACAAAAATATGTGTTTTTACAGCAAAGAAGTGGTTTAACTGTATTCAAGTAGAAAAAATATTGTTTCTGTAATAAATAAGAACTTAACATATATAGGGACTGGAGAAAATCATAAATGAATATATTTTTTATTTTGGTTAAGGAATTTGTCTTTTTTATTTATCTTTAAACACTGCAGCCTGCAGGATGTCATTAGTCCCAAGAAAATTTGCAAGTTTTATTTAATCGCCCATGTCTTGTTTTAAATTAACACTTGATGCATCTCTTCCATGCAGCTATTAACAGCTATTGTTGTGGGATCTTGTGATGACCTCTGTAAAAAATCAATTTGATTTATGATCCAGCCTCAAACATAGGAATGAGCCTTTCCTAATTGATCTGTGAAAGAAGACCTGACAGGGTGATCATTCACATGTCCTGGTTTCTTAAAGTTCAAACATAAATGTGTTATGGTGGAACTGTGAAACAAAGGAAATAGTTCAAATGAACTCAAAAACAATGCTCTAAGTATCCTGATCCCAGCATCCAATCAGATGCATAGTGGAAGTGTCCAAGAAGTTAAAATACAACTACTTAAAAATGGCACATCTTTTAGAGTCCTGACCAAGGGTCCTTTTACTAAAAAAAAGTTTGTAAATCCAACTAAAATGACTTTGTCCTCAAATTCTAAACTGACTATTGTTATTTTTGTAATTATACAAATATATTTTTACGCTTTTACACTTTAACACATAAAGGTTATATGTGAGAAGCTGATTTTATTAATCTTTTTTTTTTTTTTTGCTCAAGACAATGGTCACTTAGTTCTGTTGAATCTAACAGCTGACTTTGATACAGTAGAACATTAGATCCTCCTTTCCCACCTGGGTTGAATTTCTAAAAGATTACATCATATTAAATATTCAATTTGAAGGAATTTTTTAAATAAAATATTGACAGCTTACTAAAACACAGATATAATTTTCTCCTCTTAAACCTAGAGTATTTTAAAAAATAATTTCTGCCTGAAGAATATTTAGAATATAGCACTGTAGTCATGAGATCTGATGTAAACCTTTGGTATCTCTGTAAGGGTGAGGAATAAAACATATTTTCCAGTGGCAGTATTTCAGATGTAACCATGCCAAAGTTTCTTTACTGAAACAAAACTCCTTTCTTCTTTAAGCCTCAGCTAAACCTGCAAACAGGCTGTCAGGCTTAAGTTTAAGATAAAGCTCTTCCAGATTTATTATAAACTATGCTTAGTCTCCCTAACCTTAACCGCATGGAGGTTAAGTGTGATTCTGCAGCAGAGGTTTTACTAGCTTTCCAACTTCAGGCAGCTGATGTGCTTGTTTCCTTGGAGAGCCTCAGAGAGAGGTCATCAAGGATGTAAACCTGGGACCTCTCACACCCAAAGCAAGGCTCATAACGAGCCCCTATGCACATCAACACTTAGAAGTGTGTGAAAGCTAGCATACTGCATGAAATCTGATCTTTTTTGTCTAGCCATCAAGTCCTACAGAATCCACTGGGGGCAACCACCCCTTTCTTATGTTTCCGGACTATGCATGCATTCACAGCTTGATAACGAAGCTATGACCACGAAGTGGTATTCTTCCTAGTGCCAAGTGGATAGCATATGAACCTCCTCTCATCCCTATCAGGAGCTATATGGATGCCCAAAATCCTTTGCCTGAAAGGATATATGCACACGATGTTTTACAATATACCTATCTTTATGACGTGTACTGTTTCACACAGTTGGTCACACAAAGGTCACACAA